GTCAATCATGGCAGTTTCACCATACCCGGGAGCGAGAGGTCTTGTTGCATTTAATGCCATGACAGCCTCATTTAATGCTTGATGCATGAGCTCAATAACACTGTAGGATCTTTGTCTGCCACTTGGCTGACTCCCTTTCCGACAGGTGCCCAAATGCTATTGGACCTGGGCCAACATCGACTTCTCATGGTTACTGGGCTTTAGTCCGTGCAACTTTCTGAGAGGCTTAGGACAAAGGTGGATTAGGCCTTCCTGTGCCATGGGCTAGGCCCTCCAGGGCTATGCCCATCAGTATAAATGCGCGTGCCTGGCGCCTATGTGTCTTCCACAATATCGTTCGCTTTGGTGAGGTGGACACAGAGCCCCGCCGACCTCATGGCTTTGTTTCTCCTCGAGAAAAAACACGTTGTAACAGGTTAAGGGGCCAATACGCTTATAAGGTGAAGTCGGTCTATCCTCCCAAGCGATGTGGGATTGCCCCAACATAACCCTCCGGCGAACTAGGCCCGCAACAACGGGGAAAGAGACAAGCCCTTCCTCTAGCACCAAATGCGCGTGCCTGGCGCCTGCATGCTTGCCACAATATTGTCCGTTTTGGCGAGGTGGGCACGCAGCCCCATCGGCCTTACGACTTTGTTCCTCCTCGAGGAAAAACACGTTGTAAGGTGAAGTCGGTCCGTCCCCCAAGCAATATGCGATTGCCCTAACAATCTTTATCCTTAAATTTTTTACATTACGTCAATTTATTTCAACTAATAATGTCTTTTTACAAATTGAACTGAAATCAAAAGATAAAATAGTTAATTCACTATCTTCTCAGTGATTATAAGGTTCATTCCTCTATGAATGGATAATTTTGCTATTAATTTATGTCCAAATTTTTAACAATGGTTATTGATTGGATTAAATGGTACACAATATAAAAATTAAAAATTAAAATTGATATAATTAAAATTATAGGGACGAAATTGATACTAAAAAATAATTATAAAGATTGTGGATATAATTTGTCCAAAAATATAGTACCTGTATGTGTTTTACCAAGTTTATAACGAAGACTCAGCAGCATATAAATAATAAAATTGCTCTCTAGAAATTTAACTTTTGAATAAATTTTTAATTAGGTAATCATTCCCAAATCTCTTTTTATCCAATTCATATCAATGATATGAAAATACTTATCCATCTCAGATGCCTATTCTAGTGAATATGTCGGCATATGAATATGAATATAACCTAACAGATCTACCCAAAGGAATGAAGCATATAATTCATGTGGTTAAATATAATAAATTTTAAAAGAAAAAAAAAAGATTAATTACCTGGTAACTTTTCTGGGTGTGTGTAGCAAATTCCATTTTCCCCGTCAATTGTAGGAATAAATTCATCAATTAGAGGATGAATTTTATGGGCATTTGATGACACTTTAGCTTCTAAATGTTCAAGAATTTCTTGATCAGATGGATCAAACTTCACCCCGGCTGGAAGCCCCGGCAAATCTTGAATTCCCGCCTAATTTATTCAAAATTTAGGTTAAAAATTGTTAATTTTTATAAGAAACAAATTGAAATAAAATTTAATTACTTGTGAATAAATATAGATAACAAATACACAAATTGTAATACCCGATTTTGCAATTCTATATTATGGCCACATGAAGGACATGTTATGAAGCGAACTTCACCGGCTTTTTCTGCATCGATAACACGATTTTGTTGAGGAGAAGGCGAGACTATTTGGATGGCTGTTTCATCTTCAGAGTCGTTATGCCATGTCATCTCTCTTGTTTTGCTCTTACTCCCACCCCAAAGATGGTTTCTCTCTCCTATTTCCTCCACCTCTACAAACTAGAAAAATAACACAAGATGTGTAAAAGCACGTTTGTGGTTAAGCAAATCTTTTCTTCTTGTTCTTCTTCGTTGTTATTGATGATCGAGAAGGAATTGAATTCTTCACTTTTGTTTTCTCTTCCCTGTGAAAGAGCTGTGCCTTGCTAAGTTTTCCGCAGAGAGAGAGAGAGAGAGAGAGAGAGAGAGAAAAAAAGGAGGATACGAATTTTCTTGTATGTTTTGAAAAATACAGGAAAAGAATTGTGAATTGAATTGTTCTTATAAAATGATAGTAGCTTGCTCATCAAGTTTGGTTTTGTTCGTGTGTATGCGCACACATGTATGAATATGCAGGGTTGTTTTGAAAAGTTTTAAACTTTTTAATTTTTTTTTGTTTTAGCTTTTTTTTGAAAAAAATTGTAAAAAAATAAAGATGTGATATGATTCAAAAAAGTCAAAGAGTTAAAAAATTTACTTTTAACCAACTTACCAAAATAGCCTGCAGTTTCATGTTTGTTTTAAAAAAAGAATTGGTGAAAAACTAGCTTTTTGATTTATTTTTTTTTTTTGTAGCTTTTTTATTAAAAAAAAAAATTGACTTTTTTGTGATTATTTTTTTTTTTGTGACTTTTTGTGAAAAAAAAGTTAAAAAATTAAAAAGTTAACTTTTTTTAACTTCTTTCCAAATTGCCCCTATATAATTTTATTTTTTATTTTATTTTTTTGACTCTTAAACACAAAGTAATAGGGTCTACATAATAAAGGTGTATTGTACCCATGCACTCATGTGTAGATTGAGAAAAGGACTGGGTTTCTTTCATGCGAGAAAAAGACTGGGTTTCTTTCATACGGATGAGAAGTTGTTTGGGATTATGGTGCGCAGCATGAGTCTAGTTTTGATAATCTTATCTATTTATTTTGTAAGATTCTTTATATATATTATTAATATAAAAAATTAAATTGATTTGATAATCTTACCCTATTTAATTTGTCGTATTTCTTTTCAAAAAAATGAACAATAAATAGTCTATTTTTAAAAATACATTTATTGTTCATTTTTTTAAAGAAAAATACAATAAATTACAATTATCAAATTGACTTAATTTTTTGTGTAAATAATATACACAAAAAATCTTACAAAATAAACGGTTTGGATTGAAACAGGACCTGAGGTGGGCACGTAGGGCCTAGACAACACCCTATAGTCTAGATCTTGGACCAGACCCCCCCAAAAAAAAACAGGAGCATTTTTAGTAAATCTCATTCTTAAGAATGTTCAATCTAACCCATATTCTAGTTCGGTGAAATACAGAGATGGGTTGTTTGGGTTGGAGGACTCAACTTGGGGGTTACCAACATTGTGTTATAAAACTATGGATATCATCGTAACCATCCACTCTGACGTAGAAGATGTGTAATGGTGGAACTTCCTCCTGTGACAATGAACACAACTGTCAACCAAGGGTTGTTCCCACAGACAGCGCCAACTGAAAATGCAACACGATCAAAGAAATATGGGTCGGACTAATCCACATGTTCCACAGGTCTGCTGGCCTTCGTCTTCTTGATACATGCCTGCAAAAGGTTCGATGGGGAGGTACCAAGACTAGATTAGTTTCTTCCCGTGGACACTCTAATGGTTAAGTTAGACAGGAAGTGATCGGAGGAAAATGACTAGAGAATAAACCATGAAAGAGAGGGAAGAGGATATTACTTGTTGTCTTTAGCGTTCTCCACAAGCTTCCTTATATCTTTTGCCAATCATTTCCTTATCCATTCAAGCTGTTTTATTGGTCAAAAGTCTAGGGTTTACTCGCTGTCGATCATGGCTGTTTCACCATACCCAGGAGCAAGAGCTCTTATTGCATTTAATGCCATGACAGTCTCATTTAATGCTTGATGCCTGAGCTCAATAACTTTGTAGGATCTTTGTCTACCACCTGCCTGACTTCCTTTTCGATAGGTGTCCAAATGCTATTGGACCTAGGCCAACATCGACTTATCATGGTTACTGGGCTTTAGTCCGTGCAACTGTCTGGGGGGCTTAGGACAAAGGTGGATTGGGCCTTCTTGGGCCATGGGCTGGGCCCTCCTAGGCTATGCCCATCAGTATAAATACGCGTGTCTGGCGCCTTCGTGTCTACCACAATATTGTTCGCTTTGGTGAGGTAGGAACGGAGCCCCGTCGGCCTCATGGCTTTGTTTCTCATTGGGGAAAAACGCGTTGTAACAGGTTGAGGGGTCAGTATGCTTATAAGGTGAAGTCGGTCTGTCCTTCCAGGCGATGTGGGATTGCCCCAATATAACCCCCCAGCGGACTAGGCCCGCAACAGCGAGGGAAGAGACAAGCCCTTCCTCTAGCGCCAAATGCGCGTGCCTGGCGCCTGCATGCTTGCCACAATATTGTCCGCTTTGGCGAGGTGGGCGCGGAGCCCCATCGACCTCACGACTTTGTTCCTCCTCGAGAAAAAACGCGTTGTAACATATTGAGGAACTAGTACGCTTATAAGGTGAAGTCGGTCCGTCCCCCAAGCGATATGGGACTGACCTAACAAACTTTATCCTTAAATTTTTTACATTATGTCAATTTATTTCAACTAATAATCTCTTTTTAGAAATTAAACTGAAATCAAAAGATAAAATAGTTAATTCACTATCTTCTTAGTGATTATAAGGTTCATTCCTTATGAATGGATAATTTTGCTATTAATTTATGTCCAAATTCTTAACAATGATTATTGATTGGATTAAATGGTACACAATATAAAAATTAAAAATTAAATTTGATATAATTAGAATTATAGGTACGGTATTGACACTAAAGAAGAATTATAAAGATTGTGGATATAATTTGTCCAAAAATATAGTACTTGTATGTGTTTTACCAGATTATAACGAAGACTCAGCAGCATATAAATAATAAAATTACTCTCTAGAAATTTATCTTTTGAATAAATTTTTAATTCGATAATCATTCCCAAATCTCTTTTTACACAATTCATATCAATGATATGAAAATACTTAGCCATCTCAGACGCATATTCTAGTGAATATGTTGGGATATGAATATGAATATAACCTAACAGATCTACATAAAGGAATGAAGCATATAATTCATGTGGTTAAATATAATAAATTTTAAAAGAAAAAAAAAAAAAAAAGATTAATTACCTGGTAACTTTTCTGGGTGTGTGTAGCAAATTCCATTTTCCCCCTCAATTGTAGGAATAAATTCATCAATTAAAGGATGAATTTTATGGGCATTTGATGACACTTTAGCTTCCAAATGTTCAAGAATTTCTTGATCAGACGGATCAAACTTCACCCCGGCTGGAAGCCCCGGCAAATCTTGAATTCCCGCCTAATTTATTCAAAATTTAGGTTAAAAATTGTTAATTTTTATTAGAAACAAATTGAAATAAAATTTAATCACTTGTGAATAAATATAGATAACAAATACACAAATACTAATACCCGATTTTGCAATTCTATATTATGGCCACATGAAGGGCATGCTATGAAGCGAACTTCACCGGCTTTTTCTGCATCGATAATACGATTTTGTTGAGGAGAATGCGAGACTATTTGGATGGCTGTTTCATCTTCAGAGTTGTTATGCCATGTCATCTCTCTTGTTTTGCTCTTACTCCCACCCCAAAGATGGTTTCTCTCTCCTCTTTCCTCCACCTCTCCAAACTAGAAAAATAACACAAGATGTGTAAAAGCACGTTTGTGGTTAAGCAAATCTTTTCTTCTTGTTCTTCTTCGTTGTTATTGATGATCGAGAAGGAATTGAATTCTTCACTTTTGTTTTCTCTTCCCTGTGAAAGAGCTGTGCCTTGCTAAGTTTTCCGCAGAGAGAGAGAGAGAGAGAGAGAGAGAGAAAGGAGGATACGAATTTTCTTGTATCTTTTGAAAAATACAGGAAAAGAATGGTGAATTGAATTGTTCTTATAAAAGGATAGTAGCTTGCTCATCAAGTTTGGTTTTGCTCGTGTGTATGCGCACACATGTATGAATATGCAGGGTTGTTTTGAAAAGTTTTAAACTTTTTAATTTTTTTTTGTTTTAGCTTTTTTTTTTTTAAAAAAAATTGTAAAAAAATAAAGATGTGATATGATTCAAAAATGTCAAAGAGTCAAAAAAATTCACTTTTAACCAACTTACCAAATAGCCTGCAGTTTCATGCTTGTTTTAAAAAAAGAATTGGTGAAAAACTAGCTTTTTGATTTTTTTTTTTTTTTGTTTGTATTTTTTTTTGTTGCTTTTTTATAAAAAAAAAAAAAAAAAAACTGATTTTTTTGTGATTTTTTTTTTGTGACTTTTTGTGAAAAAAAGTTAAAAAATTAAAAAATTAACTTTTTTTAACTTCTTTCCAAATTGCCCCTGTATAATTTTATTTTTTATTTTATTTTTTGACTCTTAAACACAAAGTAATACGGTCTACAGAATAAATGTATATTGTATCCATGCACTTATGTGTAGATTGAGAAAAGGACTGGGTTTCTTTCATTCGAGAAAAAGACTGGGTTTCTTTCATACGGATGAGAAGTTGTTTGGGATTATGGTGCGCAGCATGATAATCTTATCTATTTATTTTTGTAAGATTCTTTATATATATTATTAATATAAAAAATTAAATTGATTCAATAATCTTACTCTATTTAATTTATCGTATTTCTTTTCAAAAAAATAAACAACAAATGGTCTATTTTCTAAAATACATTTATTGTTCATTTTTTTTAAAGAAAAATGCAATAAATTACAATTATCAAATTGACTTAATTTTTTGTGTAAATAATATACACAAAAAATCTTACAAAATAAATGGTTTGGATTGAAACAGAACCTGAGGTGGGCACGTAGGGCCTAGACAACACCCTATAGTCTAGATCTTGGACCAGACCCCCCCAAAAAAAAACAGGAGCATTTTTAGTAAATCTCATTCTTAAGAATGTTCAATCTAACCCATATTCTTTTTGAGTATTTCATTAGATCCTATTTGGTATAATATGACCAAATTACTCTTCTAATTTTTTTGCTCTTGTTCCATTTTGAAGTTAATACACAATAAAAAATAAAAAATACCCCTACTACTGCTACTCGCATCCATACAACCAACCCCTAAGCCTCTCGATTTTTTAAACAAAAAAGTTAAGAAGAACTTAACTAGAGAATTAAAATACATGAATCCCCACATATTCAACCCACCAAAACATCCAATACAAACTAAATGAACTACCCTGCACCCAAACTAAACTAAATTAACTAAATCAACCCCGGGAACAACACCAACGCCTCTGCCAAGTCCACTCCTCTGACGCTACTGCAAGAACAAGACACGTCTCTGCAGCTTCAACCACCTTCTCATAGCTGCTGCCCACGCCACCTCTAAGCTGCTGCAACTCCATAGCTACTACCCACTCCACCAACAAGCCATGCCTCTGCCGAGAAGACTGCAAAAACCACCGCCGGGAACAACACCCACTGCCGACAGAACTACACCCCGGCTACAACACCCACTGCCGAAGACACCCACACAGCATCTCCCACCAGATCTTCTTCTTGCTCACACCCAATCCCCACGCCTTAACCTGTACTGCAGCCCACAAAAAATAACTACACCTCATTTGCTATATCAGGTCCTCTTCTTTCTCGCACCCAACACCCACTGCCAAGCACCAAAACCAACAGGTCTTCAATCACACGCCGCGGATCTGCACACCCACCGAGCACACCTACTAGGACACCTCCAGACATAGGTAGAAACTCACCCCTCAAACTCTTACTCGAGGAAGAGCACTCGAGTGACAACCGGACAGAACTGGATCGCACCCCTCACGCTCCAACTCGCCAAAAGCGCTCGAGTGAAATACCTGGAAGCGCCTGCTGAAACAGCTACTGCAGCAAGGTTGAAGTAGACGAGGACAAACTGAAGACAAAGCCTGGACACACCAATCACTAACCCGCAGCAACGAAGCACACCAAGGAGGGATGAAAACGGGGGACTCAAGTTTATTGAAATGAAAAAACTGACAAGGCAAAGGAAAAGAACAAGCTAGGCCAGCCGACCGCCATCGCCAAAGGCGGCGGCCAGCCGGCCCAAAAAGAGGCCGGAGATGGAGGTTTTCAGAAAAAGAAAAGAGAGGTTTTTAGAGAGAGAGATAAATTTAGTAAATCTCATTCTTAAGAATGTTCAATCTAACCCATATTCTTTTTGAGTATTTCATTAGATCCTATTTGGTATAATATGACCAAATTACTCTTCTAATTTTTTTGCTCTTGTTCCATTTTGAAGTTAATACACAATAAAAAATAACAACAACTCTTTATTCTATGGAAAAAATCTATTTATCATTCTAGGAAAAATCCCGTCTTTCTAGGGAGAAAATCTCTCCCTTAATCTGTGGAGAAAAACTCACCATTATTCTAGAAAAAAATCTCTCCCTTATTCCATAAAAAAAATCTCACATTCTCAAAATCCTAAATCATCTGCTTTTTGAAATTCTCTCACTAAATGTTGATATATACCTTCACATTGCAAATGTATGCTGATAAATAACATCTCCTCATAGAGCCATATATACACTCAACGTTACATCAATGTGTGGATATTAATATTGGATGCGACTACCTGTTTGTATTACAGAATTAATGTAAACATTCACATCTCTATGTACACAATATGTTGTGCTAGTATGACTACTAATATATAACTAACCTTCGAAAAAACAATGCACATACGAAAATACAATGTGAATGTTCGCAATAAATAACAAACATACAACTAACCTTCAAAAAAATAAAACTCATATCAAAATATAATGTGAATATTTACAATTTACAATTAAAATACAATTACCATTAAAAAACTACACTCATTCCAATGTGAACATTCATACTATAATGTGAAAATATAAAACAAAAATTTTTAAAAAGGAAAATCGATTATTTCGATTGTTCAATGGTAACAAAAATGATTGTTAACAAAAACAACAAGCATACAACTAACTTTTCAAAAAATAAAGTTCATACCAAAATACAATATGAATTTTCATAATTTACAATTAATATACAATTAGCCTTAAAAAAAATTTAACTCATACTAATGTGAATATTTACACTACAACATGAAAACACGAAATAAAGTAATAAAAAAGTGAAAATCAACTATTTTGATTGGTCAATGGCAATAAAAATGATTGTTCAACCAAAAAGCATAATAGCAATCAATATATAGCAAATTATCAAACAATATATAAAAAAATCATCAAATAGTTCATATATATATATATATATATTAAACAGCAAATAAGAAACTTTATTGATGAATAGAAGGTGTACAAGATACCAAACAAACATCAATAAGGAGAGGGAAGTGCAAAAGTATCACAATGGGTTAAATGATCCCAACTAAGTTTGTACCAAAAAACTCATCCTATCATTTGCTAGCATCACCAAAGTTGGTGAGAAACCAACTAACGAAACAAAACAAACACCTCAACAACACTCCAACAACTAGCATAACAACAAAAACAAAACAAAACTGAAACCAAATAAAACAAAGCCCACAGAGCAACATAACAAACTGAAACCAAGTCTCCACTAGCATAACTAGCAAACTTAGCCACACTCCAACAACTAGCATAACATCTCCTAAAGAAAGCTCACAGAACAGCATAACAAAGTAGAAACCACCAGACTTAGCCACCAAACCCACATAGCTGCAAACACAATAGAGACAGAGCTGTAAGCAGAGCAAATACAGGACTAGATCAGTTCAAACTGCACAGCAACAGAAATGGTTAACATTGTAAACCCCATAAGTCTCCATCAAGACAAATCTCTTAAGTCCTTCCACCTAAACAGAATCGGATTTGTGAAATGTTATGAAGAAAGTCATCAATCGAGAATGAAGTCCCCTTGGTTGCGGCTTCATACCAGATAGCAATTCTTGTGATGATGAGCTCCTGTAATTCCTGCAACTTTGGTTGAGAGCCTTGAAAGAGGCACTCATTTCTGTGCTTCCAAATTGACCAAAGAGCCACCAGAGGAATTGCACTCCAAATTCTTCTTTCTTGCACTCCTGTAGTTCATATATATTGATACGCATTTTTAAAAAAATCTGTAAGTAATCAACTTCGATATAATATTGGTGAATAAACTACACAATGTCGGTAATTACACAAACTAACAAAGAGACTGGGTATTGTTCATCGGTTTACCATCATCTCTGTTGCAAGTCTATCATCATCTCTATTATTAGTCTACATGAATAACTAACATTTTCTTTCAAATATTCTTCCATAGCAAGACCTTATTATAAAATAATTGTGAATGAAGATCGTTGATCAAATGAATCCCTCACATGCAGGTAAAGAAAATACTAAAAATAATAATTTTTTATATTTATATATAATATTTTATATATATCATAAATTAAATATATGTAATACTAATTTTCTATCTCCTAATTATCTTGGTAAAATTTTGTTTTACAAAAACGAAAAGGACAAGAATGAAGCAACCGTTTCACCACCAGCTGTTAGTACAAGTGGTATTTCCTCACTAATAAAACTATTGAAAAGAAAAAAGAAAAATTCATGTTCAAATGATAGTCATGGTTATTACTGTTGATACCAAAGTACATAAAGCCCCTGCTGTTATTATTTGAAATTTTAATAGCAGTAAACCAAAATAGCATGGTTTCATTCCTTTCTCTGCCCAAACAAACCCCCAATGAACATCTCATGCATGGATCACAGACAATAATTCACTCTTTATCACCTAATATTCTGAGTGTACCTGAGAACTTTATTGGCTAAAGATCTAAACCTTCCAGTCAAGAACTGAATATATGTATTATGCTAAAAAGATTATAGAATTCAAGGCCACAAAATATGTGGCTTATATTAGA